ACAACTGACGTATACAAGGTATTTAACCTATTATTATTATTATTATTCAATCCAGGAGGCAAACATGGATAAAGGTCGTTTTTAGTAGAATACAATGCCGCAAACCGCACTTCAAAAGGTTGATCCTGCGCAAAATGGCAGATGTTCAAAGATTTCTTGAATCCGCCATTTTGAATCTTTGAACGACTGCCATTTTTTACTCAGGCATTCTTTTGAGCTTGAATTTACGGCATTGTATTCTAAAAGTGAAGATCTTAAATTTGATGTGCATATCGACATATTCTTACGTTAGCAATTTTCTTCCGATTCCTAGGGCTGTGCCTCCTGAGGAGAAAGCGTATAACAGCAATGTAAATTAAATTAATCTTTGAACAACTGTCATTTTGCGCAGGATCAACCTTTTGAAGTGCGGTTTGCGGCATTGTATTATACAAAAAAAGACCTTTAATTTGATGTGCATATTGACCTATGCTTCCATTTAAGATTTTCTTCTGACTCCTTGTGGGCCGTCCCCCTGAAGAATTATTGGATCACTGAATATGTGTTAAATAAAGTTTTATGCCCTGTAGCTTTGTACCAAGTATTTTAGCTCTATATGCATCATTTTTTTTAAATATTTAACCGTTCCGGGACTTTTCTATCACACTGTATAAAAAACAACTAAATAAAATAGAACAATTACTCATTTTTCATATTATTATTTTTTTTATATCGCCTAGGAACCTGAAAATTGTATAGGCCTTCGTTCAACATGGGGTTTGTTAAAATGTTTTGGGCGACAATCAGTGAAGCTTCTCTTCTCAATTTTAGGCCTCGCTTTGGGGAAATGAAAAAAGTTCTCTCTCGAAGTATATTTCTAGTCTCTCGTAAATTACTGGTTTCTTGGTTTTAATTTTAGATTTTTTATTTTTAGTTTACCAGTAAGCAAGTTGCCAGTACATTAAAAATTATTGAAAAAATACTAAAAAAAACTTCAAGTATTACAAACATACCATGATAGTACAGAGGGCACGTAAAGGCCACCGAACAGCTACGGACTTAATTAGAAAAGTCACTTACATTTGCACACAAACTGCCTCCTTTAAAAATAATTCCACCCTTTATTTAAATGTTATATTTTCAATTGTAGGCAATATAGAAGATGTAATAGTATTCATATAATTATGTGTATATAAAAAGATAAAAACATTAGATAAATTGTAGTAATAACTAAATTGGAATCGGCACAGTTGGTAGTGGGACTCTAAAACCAAGGGTGAGACGCTATGGCTTAGCGTTTTAACGGTTCAATCTTAGTTTACTAGCTCTCCCATTTTCGCTTGATAAATCCACGCATGAGTCTTATATAAATACAAAATCTATGTTAAATTATAGGAATGTATAGTAGCCCAGGCACTTTAGGTAAAAAAATAGAACAAATTAATAACTACCTGATTTTTGGTGTGGTGTTAGTATGTCATTAGGTAAGTATTTTCTGAAAATTCCCCTCACTTCCTCCGCTTGCTTCACCCAGTAAAGGGCTAGAAAGGGTCTAAGTTACGTAAAAATACAAAAATATTTATTGAGTGACACCAGTGTCACCAATTTTAGTGGTTTTAGTCTTAAATCATTCAGAATAAAAGTGACCATGCTAAAGAATTGCCGCAACAATAATTCATAGCACTTTAAGGCGTTTTATTTGATATATTTTATTTTTTTGTTTAACAAAAATATATATAAAAAAATAAATAAAACTCTTGCATTATTTGTAAGATATGTAATATTGGACTTTCTTTAACTTAGTTTTTTTAATCTTATATACAACTAATACTCACATATCACCAACTAAAAATATAGCTAAGATAAGTTAATAATTTTTCCTGCACATTTCAGAAAAGTACGGATCAGTTTCTTGGGGCGAATTTAAACCCGTCGAAAATAAAGCATATTCTTTACCTACACACAATCTTTCTTGTAACTACAATCCCGCATCAACATCTTCATCACCCTACAGAGATATGGGAGGTCCATTGGCGCAGCCTCCAAAACAGCGGCTACACATGGCAGAACAAGTTGAGTTTAGATGCCTCTTGATCAAAAATCTGTCGATGGATGAACAGATGAGTCATATACTAATTTTCTAATGTCTTCCCTAACAATCTGGGCAGCCTCTTCAATTATTTTCCTGCGCTTGGTCTCCAAATCCGTCATCCTATCAGCGTTCCATGACCCCCGTAATAGTTTCTGAGAAGTATCACTCAACGTTACAACTGTTACATTTCCCCTTCCTACCGAAGTCGAAATTCTAATTTTCTCCCCAAAATGCTCGGACAGCTTCCTTTCTAAGTAATATGAACTGTAAATTTCCTTTCCTGGTAAAAATTCTTCCATTTTTTCTAATAGCACAGTGACGCTTAACTGGGATTCGTCGTTATTTTCAATATAACGACATAATTTCAAAATGCATCTCTTGTAGTGACCGGTTGACCTACATCTTTTTTTGACGGGTTTCTAAAAAATGTTGAATAACAGTCACGGCAATACTTTGCTTGGGCAGCTACTAAATCTCCGAATCCGGCTATTTGGGATAATATAAACTGACCCCATTCATCTTTACGTTCTATAGCAGATTTCTTGACGGAGTTAAATATTGGTAGGGTACGCACTTTATGCACAACCTTTCTATATTTTTGTGGGAGTTTTGTACTGGCACAGTTCAAGGCATCTTTACCACAAAACAAACAGTTTAAGTCCAACACCGAATCGATGCTTGAACGAGAGAGAGAGACGACTAGGGCCCTCCTCTGCGTCCGAACAGGACGAATCAGATTACTGTAAATTGCAAAAAAGTGTAAATTAAAAATTCCCATGTTATTATTCTTATGGAGAATAAGTAAACTGTTGTAGTTTGCTTGTTCATGATCATATTTTGATCAAATTTGGAAAATGGATTCATTTCATACTGAACTATTAACATTTTATATATAAAAAAAAATACCTTTTTACCCTCCCTGATGCAGCAAACCTAAGTACCATGATATTTAAATCCTACTAATATTATAAATGAGAAAGTTTGGATGTATGGATGTATGGATGTATGGATGTATGTTTGTGACAAGTGAACGCGAAAAATACTGGTCGGATTGGGCTGAAATTTGGCATGATGATAGCTCACATTCCCGATTAACATATAGGCATATTCTTATTTCAAAAATCCTTTCGGGCTCCGCCCCAGTGGCTCTGGAGTTTCCCATGTTAACCTTATGAGAAATGAAATTATTGAATCTTAACAGCTGTTTCAATTAAACAAGTTGGTTCTGTTCTGTGATGATCAATAGCATTAAAGTTACAAAAATTACCAACAGGGTGCAGCACTATTATTTCTTTTACAGGCTGCACTTTACTTGACGTCCTACACTCATTCGAATGAAAATATCGATCGATATATCGATTAATCAATTGCTTCATTCGATATATCGTTTGGTTAGTTAGGTAAGGTTAACCTAACCTAACTAACCAAACGATATATCGAATGAAAGAATCGAATGAAAATATCGAATCGAAAAAAACAATTGAATGAGTGTAGGATGTCAAGTAAAGTGCAGCCCTTTTACATTTATGACAACAGCTAATTTGCAACCAAAAGGTGAGTGAGCGTAGCGAACGAACTTCAACCTGGAGGCGAGTTAGCGTAGCGAACGAGCTAACCTGAAGGCAAGTGAGCGCAGCGAACGAGCTCCAACCTAAAGGTGAGTGAACGTTGCGAACGAGATAATCTTGAAAATTAAGAAGTTAAACGGGGCAAAGCCCGCGGGTTACAGCTAGTAAGGAATAATTGTGATATTTTTAAGGAGACATTTTAGTGTAAATCCAAATCAGGCAAATGGAAATTTGCCTAGTCTGCCGGTTTGCTTCGGTGGGGTTATTTTACGTATAAAGCTGTGAACGTACATAATAACAGGTGTGAAAGCATTGTTGGGCAAAAACTTTTTTTCAGGGCTGCCAACCCAAAATATCCAAACTTAAACTTCTCAACACCCTGTAGTTTTTATGATTTATTTTTTCGTATCCATGGATATGAGGGGTTTTAATATTATTATTTACTAGCATTCTTTATGCGAGTTTATTTATTAATTAGACCATTTTAAGTTAATATATAGACAAATTAAATAGTTAAAAATGTGCGAAGGATTCATACGCTGCGGTTCGGTGCTCTTAACTTAGAATCTATATTTTGGTATAACTATGCCCATCAAAAATCACACTAATGATTTATATAATTGTTTCCTTGATTTAAAAATTTTCTTGAATATATTTTAGGACGAATAACAAATAATAAGTTGGGGTAGTAAATGTCAAAAACTGAAATTCTCAGCAAAAACGCTTTAAATAACCTAAAATTTACTGTAAAAATTAAAATATATAAAATAAAACGCCCTAAAGTGCTATGAATTATTGTTGCGATGATTATTTAGCATGAATACTTTCATTCTGAATTATTTAAGACTAAAACGACTAAAATTGGTGACATTGGTGTCACTCAATAAATATTTTTGTATTTTTACGTCACTTAGACCCTTTCTAGCCCTTTACTGGGTGAAGCAAGCGGAGGAAGTGAGGGGAACTTTCAGAAAATACTTACCTAATGACATACTAACACCACACCAAAAATCAGCTAGTTATTAATTTGTTCTATTATAGGGCATTATTTTTTCTAAAATTCCTGGGCTATAGGCAAAGATCAGAGTTTTTGAAAAAGTGTCTAAAAATGATCACCATGTTATTCTTAAGGGGGAAAAACCCCAAGTGACTTTAAATGTGGTTTCTCCACTACTGAGCTAAGGTGATTGGGAATTGTGGGATTGTAAATCCATTAAACGACCCAATGAACTTATTCCAGTTAGTACCATGATAAGAAAACTATACAGCGTCTCGATTATCTAGCCGAGTTGCCGTGCCAGTGCTACCTCCAGTTGTATTTCTAGCCAAAGAAACCACTCAAAATGGTGGTTTTGTTGCAGAGCTACTTCTCAGTAACGATCGTGATTGTAAGCAAGTTTCTGCACGAAGAGAGGCTCTACTTAACTGGAAACATGACTCAACCTATCAGCGACAGTTTCCTCGAGCCAGAAACCATATCACCAAGTGAGTTTCGTGTCTAATTAAATATCTTTACATTATATCATAGTCAAGTAGAATAAATATAGACCGGTCCATCTTGATTAACATTTGTTACGGCGCCCACCGCTGCAGCGTCTGCTGGTAGCATACGGCTCCTGCGCTCCTCGCCTGCAGTAGTGTGCGCCATAACTACACGCCACTCATTGCGGTGGCCACCGGAACCTTCCTGTAACTGTCTATATTTATTCTATTTGTCTCTTATTACATATATCCTGGTACTTCAATCATTTTTTAATCGAATTATTAGTTTATTTAATTGGATGCTCCCCAATCTCCACCGAACTCTTGAAAAACGGAATTCGAACCTGCAATGTATAGGGATGCCTCAATTACGTTGTCTCAAAAGGTAACACCATAAAAATTGGGTTAATAATTTTTAAAACAAGCTTCCACTCTCTGAGAACAGATGGTGGGATGATTATTAGAAGAAAAAGGAACAGCTGGTATTTATGTAAGTAACAATAGTAGATATGGAACACAACCAATATTTTTAATCTATGTCAAAATATGTTAAAATAAATAGTATAATATGGTCAAATTATCATTATAAGATAGGAGACGCAACCTATGTGCGTATTTTAGCTCAAATATGAGTGAAGGTTGAGTGAAGAATGCTGTGAGATGATCTATGTAGCTTTGTTACTGCATAAGCCAGGTCTCACTTTTAACCGATCACTTTTAATCACTTAGCTACCCAGCCAGTCTCAGGCTATGAATTATGAACGTATTGTCAAGGTAATATGAAATGTTCTTTTATAGGTTGTATATATACTTATTTGAAAGTTATATTGTGCTTAAGTCAAATTTTAAGCAACAATAATCATAACAGTCTGCTGAAAACCACTCCGTAATCAGAAGAAGGAATGAGATACCATCCTAAAGCAATTGACAACGCCCACTTCCATCCGTACTGATGGTAAATGTAGCGATTGAATATCGAAACAGGCTGAAAGTTGCATACGATCCATCATGGGCTGTTGTGTGATGTGACGGCCTATGAATCACCAAGTCAAGGATTATCTTTTGTCCTTTTCATAAACCACAGTCTTCGTAGAATGAGATAGACTGGACTTAAATGACATAGCGTTTTTATTTATTTAGCCTTTATAGTTTACTGTCCAAATAAAACCTCTTTTCAAGCAACTTTTGCAAAACGTTTCAAAATTATTATTGTGTATGAAACATTGTGTCAACCATCGTGTATGTTACATAATGTAGATTCTCTCACTAAATATCAATCAGGATACATGGAAGCGATTAATTATGGCTCAATGGAGTAATTAGTCGGTTTAAGGTTAGATAAGTTCAATCATAAATCCTTACGCTACGCTGAACGTGTTGAGAATTTCACATAGTACTGTATAGTATAATGGAAAGTGTTCAGCATCCCAGAAACTGTCAAAATAGTGTAGTATCATATGTTTCTTGGCTTCGTGTTATGTAATCAGATTAATGAAAAAAATTAATGAAACTGTGTTAGTAGAAATACAAATTTGTTACAAATTTAGCTATGTGCTTATTTGAATAGTAAAAGTAAGAATACACAGAAGAACGAACACAAAGCTTAAATTAAATTTTGCAAAAATTGGTTGATACAAATTGGATTACGAATAAAGTGAGATTACTATCATGCATTACAACAAAAGGATGATCTCTCAATTGATTTGTGTGTGCTTTAAATAAGTCGAAAGCGAGTCTGTATTATATACATTGAACATGATCATAAACGTATCCTAAAAGTACGCTATGTGAACATTTTCTACAAATGACAATAATCCTTAAATAAAGTATTAAATGTGATACATTTTATTTGAAAGTTTCTCACGTTTAATTTTGTAACAAATCTTTATATGGATACAATATGACAAACTTAAACTTGCCCTACTTCAACATGACAAGAATAACAGTATATCAGGGTACAATACATCGTCTGGGAAGTTTTGGAGAGCAAGGAACTTCAACTTTACATCCAGTGTAGTTTATCTTCAGTGAGGATTATTTCGTCCTCTTTTTGTCATCAGGGTGAATTTTTATAAAAAAAATGTATTTATTTATGACAAAATATGTAAATGAATTACTTACTTATGAAAGGGACCAATATAAATTTCACAAAGATTAAATAAATTTATAAAGATGTTATTTTTTACCGTGGGAAATATATGCATTTATTATTTTTACCTAACTATATATCAGAGGATCTATAATATAAAATAACATGTTAGTGTAATGTGTAAATTTAACTCAATTATGAAAAAAGTATTACTAATTTTCTATTTTACGTGTTTTAATTATTCTAGTAATTGTTCAGTGACAGTACCAATATATTGACTCTTTCTAAAACTAATGATCAAGTGACCTTGAGTTCTACTATTATTGCATCTAATATTTTTTCAGGATCTGTAGCTATGGCCATTGAGCAAATGTTAATGATAACATTGTTTTGAATACAAAAACCGTTATTAGTTTACTTTTGATAGGGGCTGTAACATGTTATCAAGTAACACCTGATCACTACTCAGTCATTCAATTTATCTTAGAAACCTATTTATTCCAGTTGATAAAATAAATACTACTTTTCCAGCAACGATGGTGTTCAACATGGTGGTTCTGGTGTGTGCATCGTTGGGGTTCTTTTCCTGTCTTCTTCTCATGTACGGCTTGTTTTCTGTAAGTATTTCTTGTTTTTGTAATTTATTTATTTTTATTTAATTGTATGATAACAGACACCAGTATAAACGCTTTCATTATAGTTGTGTGCTAACTTTTTTCATTATGTATATACGTATAGATGAAATATTATTATTAGCATTTTATTTTACGATTGTGCTTATTCATAAACAGGGATTCTGGGGGTATTGCCCCATAAACACCAGCAACCAAAGTAATAAACCATGCAAGACGACATTTTAAACCTACTTTTAGTCTTTCATATTTTTAAAACCTAACTGTTACTAGTGTTGGGAAAACTGTATTAGTTATACTGTTTGGACAAATTGGTTATTGGGTTTTATTTTTACTGTTTAATACCCAACATTCAGTTCTGGTTTTCAATCTTATTTTCCAAAGATATTTGTAGAATTACTTTAAGAAACCGAATAAAACGTTTGGCCCTATACCATCGAACGTATAGATAACATCGATGGTAGATTTGATATTCTAATCAAAACTTAACATGTCTCCAAGGTAGTCATTGATGTAATCCGTATTTTAATGGAAGTGTAAACATGATAATGAATAACTTATGACGTTGGGGCAAATAAGTATTTTAACAGTACCTTGGTCTAACGTTTTAAGAAACTATCTACAATAGACTTAAATTGCCTACATCAAAATGTATCAATGTTCTTTTAAAATGTTGTGTTTCACCAGAATAATGTGTAGTTCAATTTTTTTTTGTGTATTTACCTTTTTTTATCTTTAACTGTGTCCTAGGACAAGAGAGTGTTCCTGATCCCTTGGATCTTCATAGTCATGATGACAACCATGGTGGACCTCGCTCATTCTCTCTATCTGTTCGCATTGGAAACTGTAAGAAAATGTTACATATTGATTGGTTTAGAAAATATGACATTACATATAATAACATTATTGAAATGAAAACTTTATGCCTATGTGAAATGTAAGTGAAGTTAAAATAGTAGTAACCATTTCAACTTATAGAAAGGAAGAAGTGGCTGATAAAATAATTTTTTTTTTATAAAAGTAATATTTTTTTATAAGTTAACATTAAACCTTATTAAAGACGGATTTAAATTTTTAATGCTTAAATTCTTAAACAAAAACTACCCAAAAAAGGAATTTATTTACTTGAACTCAAATTGGTATTTTAAATGTAAAAATATCTTCTAACCTTAAACCGAAAATAAAATTTAGCTTTTTGACTGTTAAATTCTATTTAATTTTTGACGCGAGTTTTTAAGAGTGCATTTTAGGAACAGAAATAAAATTCAATCTATGGTTCTTCTAACGGTACTTTGGTATTATACGGAGGCCACCCTTATACAGCGCGATGCGGTGGTTATGTTTAGTTGGGTTATCACACATAGAAAGTATGACTCATCTGGTATAGTTCAATTCATAACGAAACGAGAAAAGTCCTACAAACATATTAATGATTATCCAACTTAATGTAATCACCGTAGCGCGCTGTAAAATATGCGGCCTCCGTATAATGCGAAAGCATAGTTTTAACATATATTGCATATAATTAATTCATATAGCATTTTATACAAAAAAAATTTTAAATTATACTTATTATGTAGTTGTTTACGGATAAAACTAATTTTCAGATGAGCTTCAATCCTATGACTGCAATACTGTTCACCTTAGACTTCTTTCTTCTATGTCTCAATGTGAGTAAACTAATAAATTCTAGTACCTTTTAAGATATAGGTAGTTTTTACGTTTAAAATTGGAACAACTTGGCGGAGGTTCATAACTGTTTAGTGATAATAAGTGTAAGAGAGTATGGTACTTATTTGACTATTAATTCAACTTTAGTATCCAATAGTCAATGGTTACTTGTAATAATTATAATTTTCCCATCCAACCAATCGCGAAGTGTAAGCACGTTTTGTTAATATATGATCACGTCACGTGAAGGTTTAACACTTAGTAAACAAATTGTAAAAGTCTAACAGCATTTTTAAACACAATTACACATAGAATAAGGGTTGTTATGTAAGATTTAAAGTGTTGGGATGAAAAGTGCAAACAATTATCCTAACGATTATGTAAAATCAGTTATAAAATCCCATATGTTTATTCGTATATGAAACGTGAACATTAAGGGTATTTTTATTGATATGAAACACTGTTTTTCGTGCAGGTATACTGCCTACTGTGTGTAGTATCCCAGTATCAGGAGTACAAGGCTGGACGAGGCACGGCTGGCCATGATGAGTTAGACCGTCGAGCTCGTATCAAAGTGAGCCTGCTTGTGTGTACCCAACACCTTCACTCTTTTATCACTTAATTTTTAGATATTATTGTGGCTAGATATTTTTATATATAATTTTTTATTGTTTAGATTTTTATTATGATTTTTAGATATGATTTTCAAATAGTTTAATCTTCTCGGATCTAAATTTTAGTGAAAATAAGACCTCGACATAATGATTATTTTCAAAGGACATTCCTTTATCTGCAAGTTTCCTAGGAAGCTTTGTTCGTGCAAAATCACTTGTACCAGAGGCTTTAAATTGAATTTGTGATAAACTGTTTCAGAGTAGTTAAGCAATTAAATAACGGATTGTTCTAGTGAGTGCAAGACTGTAAATCTGTTTGAAAACCTTTAAATGAGCAACCATGCACCGAATTCAATAGTACACGGTTTTAGTGACTGATGACCCACATTGAGTATGTTTTTGACATGCAAACGAGTTTAAGCCAGAATTTTCTAATGAAGTGCATCAAAATTAAAGCGTCCTCCGATTTCTACATGCGTGGCATCCTACACAACTTTTTAAATCATTGCAAACAGGATTTCTGCAACTAAAAAGTAAATTAAATACATAGTAATCTTTGTTTAGTAACCACAGAGTGGGCATCAGCGCCATGCTAATCTTTTGTTGCAAGACTTGCAGCACACGAGTAGCACTTATATTGCTAGCGCCGATGCCATTAATATTTTTACTACTCTATACAGTAACAGAAAAAATCTTATAAAATAGCTGAGAGTATTTGAATGAATAAAAACGTTTTGAAAAAGAGTTTGACAATTAAGATTTCTCACTTATGTTCAATACAGATTTAGCTTGTTTTCTTTTAGGATCAAGGCCATTTTTGTTTATTTGTATTTCAGCATGATATGTATTGCTAATACAATGTAATTCTCTGTATTTACCTACAGATTTTGGATTGTTAAATTAGCTGTAATTGTATTTCAGATCATGTATATGACAATTTTGTGATATTTTTTATGTCGCAGGCTTAAGTGTTATAATGTATTTCGTAATTATCTTCTTATGTTAAAACTAAAACTCATAACATCTTTGGTTGCAGATTCCTCCAGTGCGATACGTAGCCCAGCCCACAGGGACAAGCTGCCTGAGCACCAGACGGGCTGCTACCTACCACGAGACAAGGGCTTCCCCCACCCAGAGTCCCACAGCCCCCCACCCCACTCTGCCAGTGGGGGATCCGCGCATGCGCAGCAATAGCAAACACGTCCAGTTCGGTGGGAATAATGACTGCCTCCACGTGAACTGGAGGCCGCCTGATATAGCTAGAGGTAGGCGAAGGTCTGAGTGCAAAACTGAAACAGTCATCTGTTATTTGATCATCTGGTAGACATTGGATGGCAAAATAGTAAGGGCTAGTTTTAAAGAATAAATAATACTCTCGTATCCAAAAACAATTTCTTCTCATAATATAAATTCCCATTAAGAGTGTGTGGATTTTATTTTATTGTATAGTTTGTGTAGCTGGACACTAAAGTAGATGTGATGTTGGGGTTCTCGTAAAAGTATTATTTTATAGAACGGTTCTTATCGAATATGTGTCCAATATTAATAGAAGACAGACATTAAAATTATTTTGGATGTCTCATGGTAATTGATGGCTCTAACTATAATTGAAGTTCACAGTAAACTACTCAAGTTTAACTTTTTGACAAGGTAGTCAATGTTAAATAAAAACATGTGCTCATACCTAAACTACTTTGCTGTATAGAGTTTTATAGATAACAATAATATTTGGTTACGATTCAAAATATAGTTCACATGACAATTTCGATAGACCTCCTGACCATGATAAAAACGATCTCTGTGTGCTTAATCTATTTACTCTAATTGTAATTCTTTGTTGTTAAAATTGCTGCGGGGAATGTATGATAAATGGTTTGATTACTGTTGTTAAAATATATTAATCGCACACGTGTCAGCCGTAACCAAACAAGTGTGTTTGTTTTAATAACTCATAATTAATTATACGTTGTTTCCAGGAGCTATTTCCACAGTTAAATGGAGCCACCAAGCAATTAAAACCAGTGACAAATAACTAGTTGGCTGCTTGTCAATAGCGTGCAACGTATTATATAATCGGATATTGTGAACTAAAAACCTAAAAAAATAAAAACCTTTTAAATAATCTTCTTTTCATGTGATGTTAAAATTTTACCTCCATTGCCAATCCTAAACTAATATATGTATTTTTTTTCAATTTCAAAATTCTATAATCCATCCTGGATTGTAGATCTTTACTCAACAAAAGAATTACCTAATTTATTTATCAGATGTAAGAACAATCACTATTACGATTATTAAGGATTAATGTTATTACAAACCAAACTATTTAAACGGGATGGTTGTTATTATCTGTATTTCATGATTTATTAATTGTTGAATTATCATTTAAAATATTTCCCACCATTTCCTGTTATCAACTACACTTGTGTAGTACCAAAATAAGTTCTGATGAAAAATCTCCTGTGTTTAGGAGGCTTTTGCTGAAATCAATATATAATTTTTATATTGTTTAAGACAATACTAATAAAAAGTAGGTGTTTGTGTTACAGAGTCCAGTAAGTCTTTGGTAGTCGACACAGAGCTGCTTCTGCCCGCAAGTCCGACAACGCCGAACAGCGTCCAGTTCTTCGACCCCAAGTAGCATTCAGCCCTTCGCCCTTTGGAGACTGATCTTTAGTGGCGAAAAACGAGGTTTCACATCTTCTAAGTTCCTTATAATGAGGCGAGGATGGATCACATCTTAGCTTGTCTCAGGAGAAAAGGGAACTTCACTTCTTAGTGAATGGTTCCTTCTGCAAGAAAAAAAAAACTTTGAATCTTAATGGTTACTGCATGGTGGCAAGGAACTTTTATTATTGATTGGATTCTAGTAGCAAGAAAATAGACATCTTTATCCTAGAAGCTCTAACAGTGTGCAAAGGAACATTCAGAAAGACTAACCCATTAATCTCTTCGGTGTGTGACACTGTTGAAGATGAGGTATATGTGTTAAATGGTATGTTTTACTATGACATATCAGTAATTTAGTTGGATACGATGGACAAAACAATATTTCAATTATATGAAAAGAGAGTTTGTGACCAAATCGAAACAATTTTGGAATGGTTTACATTTTACATTGAGCAATTAAAAAAATTGTTATAATATTTTAATAAAAAAAGCTTTTTTTGTTACTACTGTAATTTTACAATATATTCCAAATGAACTAATTACATCTCTGGGTTTTGAAATGATCTTGTTAACAATACGCACACTGATAATTATTAACTGCCAATAAAACGGGTGGCATATAATTAAAATTTAAATTTAATAAGCTATAATTCCTCCTATAAATTTTAAATGTTGGAATACTGTAGATGTAGGAGTATTATTCCTAATTAATTATCTCGATTTAGGTATAATATATACATATAAAAACCATTGCATAAAACAGCCTTTTTACGTCAGATATTTGTTTGAAAAAAAAACAACAGGTATTTTTCAATGTTTGTTCAACTAGCCGTAGTAATGCAGAATTTTTGTTTTTTTTTGTAAAATTAGAAAAGAGTGCCTTGATATATGAATAGAGTATGTAAGCAAAGATTCTGCCATCAATAACATGGTTTTCCTCCTTAGTTACCTCTATGTATACTTCCCTGTAAGTTGATATCATAGAGAATAATCCATAACTATTTTTGAATTCGTGTATAACTTTGTTACTTTTTGCCTGTTTGTATTTTAGTATATAATTTGTAATGTATATAACTGTAATCTTGTTCATTTTGCACTTTTATGTGATCGTCCAAATCACACATAACATTGTACTTTAAACAAGTTTGCTTTACCGAAACAATTTACTTCATCAATCAAACTATTTATGCTTTGCATACTGTGAAACGGCTGTTATTTGCCTGCAATACTTTTTACAATTAGGTAAAGTTTGTGCAATTGGTTGAATAAATGGAATGAATTTTGCAAATCCTTAATAACACAACTATCAATATGGTAGAAATTTTTTTAGAATAAAAAAATAAATGTCGAACCTTCATCACAAATACTTTATAGGCATTTTTTTAGAATAACGATTAAATCTTTTGCTTCATACTTTTAAAATTAAGAAATCTTAAATGATATTGGTGCTTCTTTATAAGCTGAGATGATAAGATCTTAAGTATTAATAATCTTAAAGCTTTTTAATTTTTTAAACTACATACCATCGTTTGTAAATAGAAATTTTATCACGGTTTGGAGTTTGTACATAGTTTTATACTTCATATTGTCATATAAGAATTTATTATTGACTGAATTTGTAAAAGTATATAAAATTTAAATTATTATGGTGTGTTTCATTTGTGACCAACAACTTTCATTTTGACAGTATTTGATAGAGATCAGAAAGAAGACTTCAGGGTACGTATTAAAAGATGAATATGACTGAACGATGAGTGTTCAATTTAATTAGCCAGCGTTGTTACTGGCTACGATCAGCTAGTTCTCTAGTCAGTATCAATTAATTATTAAAAGCTCAATGATCAAGGACAGCTGCACTTACTGAATGTACTACACAACCTTACACAGAAACATAAAACTGATAGGAGTGCATACATTGATGTCAAGGAATTTGTCACAGAAATAGAGATTGAAGAGAAAAGTATATAATCTAACTCCACTAATACTACAAATCGACAAAATATGAAGAATATTCAAATATTTAGTTTTTAATAGCTTTTAAAAAACTTCTTAATGATTAAAATAAAATCCACATCGAAGAAATAGGTAGGTTAATTCGGTTTTCATTACAAATAAAATCACTACATTATTCCTCATTCTCACATAAAAAAAATCAAAACTGGCGATAATTCTTTTCTAATGGTAGAAAATTGCAATAGGGTAAATAAATGTGACTCATCTCACACAAATCACCCTTTGGGTAACTTCTATAGGACTTTAAAAATATCAACAAAAACAAAATGTACAATATATTACTGTTTAAAACATTAAAAATATGAAGGATTCAAAAACGTATCCAGTTATACCTGTATTACGACAAACATTGATCTTAATAATTTTCATTTAAATATACTGTTGTATAGCCATTTTATGAAAGGTTCAGGCCATTATTTACATATTATTGATATACAGGTCCGTTATTCCGTGTGGCAATCGTTTAACATCAGCCATTACTGAAAAAACAATTAGTAATCTGAAAAAAATAAGAGATAAAAATACACATTGTTATAAACGATACGACTGATCGTTAAGTGATTCCCAGAAATACACTAATGAGTTTCCGTTTGAATTGAAGAGGAGGGATTATTGTTATGGAAGCGCAGCATTATGAATATTTAGTGCCAATATCTTTAAATGTTATTGCCATGGCAATATAAAATATAATACTAATATTGGTATCTTCGCATTCATTTCCAGTAAAATACTTCATGATTTAATATTTTTACCGGTCATGGTTTTTAATTAAATTTACCTACAGAATTCGTGACTGTATGTACATTAAATACAATATAAGTGTTGCAAAAGTAAATATTATCGTTAGAATTATCAATCTATAAAGGAGAATCACCTAGGTGAGTATTTTAACACAAAAATCACCAAAGAATGAGTGTAGAATAGAGTGCCTTGTGTAGTTTTGTTTCTGATAAGGCCAATTGTTTAGAGGCATGTTTAGAAACATTAGCATGTTTAGCCGCCATCTTGAATTGACTGGGTAGAACACTCTTGAACTAGACATAAAATTTAGACAGTGTACGTTATGAATTTAGTTATAGCTAGTTACTTATAGCTAGTTCAGGTTATACATTTTTACAGCCATCATGTCGGTATAACAACTCCCACATGACAATCAGTCAATCCTGTCAAGTCTTGCCTACTTGTCCAGCAAATATTCAATGTGGAAACAACCGTGGTGACTTAGCGAAATAATAACCTTGAAATAAGCAGCTCTAGAGTAGTTTCATTGAAGATATTAATCAAATTATGTTAAAGTTAAATTTTGATCAAAATATTATTAATTCACTGCTTTATATAGTGATTAAATATGTATAAATAGTTTGTTCTAGATATTAATCAGTGTTCAAAGCAATTTCTGTTCCGATTCCATTAAAATTGCTGCAAAACAAAATTAGTTTAAATTATGAAAGACTTCAACGCATAGTTATATTTCTTACAGTTTAGCCTGTTTAAATGTAGTTCCCCAATTCAAAGACTGAGGGAAAAGGGGGTTTCACCTCCCTTAAGAGAATTTTCTTCTCTATATAGATAGATGAAAGAATAGCTCAGTGTAGACTTCAAACCCCGAGGTCGTTGGATTATCACATTGTGATCCTGCGTTACGTATACAAAAATCTAAAAAAAAACACAGAGTAGGCCTAACTTACTTATGCGTTCATTGCTTAACACGGAAGTAATCCATCTACTGATATTGCATATATTATATTCAAATATATCTACGGATACTGATAATACAAAAAAACCAACACCACCCATGCTCAGTTAAAGTCGACTTTCTTCTTGTATAATAAATCAATCAATTAGATCAGAAATCATTCCTTGTTTCTCGCAAGACAACACTAACACGATTGCCTCTAAGCTGACATTTACGACATAACATGTCAAGTTATAAGCTCTTGCCAGTTTGAGTTATGTGCAATATTGTCATGATATGAGATTATCTTATTATAATTTGCTCAAATAAAGATGAGTAGTGATTACTTTGCTGCCAAAAAGGTTTATTTTTGTATAAATACAATGTCACTTAGTATAATATTTGTTGTTTTAACAGTTAAAGTGGCAATGCTTATACTGTTAATACTGTTCTATGAAATGGCGACCATACAAAGTAGGTATTTTAAGCCGAGTATGAATGGAGATGAGTGTAGGATGAGTGGCGCGATCTTGTAGTCTTGTTAGTGACTAAGGCCGACATTCCTTAGACCATATTTGTCTATGCTTAGACACAGCTGTTAATTAATAGCCCATACAGCTAATGGCAACTAAGGGACCTACAGTTTATAGTGGAATCCGAACCACATTTTTGCTTTGGTAATTTCGAATTGGTCTAATTATCAGGATAGTACTATGGATAGTGCGGTACTCACCCGTGCGGACGTTAATCCACACCAGGGAGTATCGCATCCACAGAGCATGCCTATAAATATCCACAATTCGTGACCTCCTAGTAGCTAGGTTACAGGACGACGCCACCCGTCCCAGTCTATAAATATTTTTATATCTATAAATTTGCTAGTAAATGGTAAAAGATATTTAACGTTTTAAATATCCTAAATTACGTTCAGTTATGCAACAAATTTCATTTGATTCGACCTTAACAAAAAAATAGGATATTTCGTCTTGGATAAGCGTCTAAGATCACTTGCCGTAGATTTGTGGTCTTCGGGCAGTAGTCAAGGGAGAAATTATGTTTTTATTAATTTTGCTCTGATGTAGTTAAAATGTTTGTTTCCGATGTAAAGTGTTATTTTAAGACAGCTAGTTTCAGCACGTGACCTACCTATCAAGTCAAACAATGAAAGTGTGCAAGCTATGTTGAAGTTTTGTTATCTTAAATGTACCCTACTTCGAGGCCGATATGTTGATGGGCAGAAATGTTTAGTAGAGTTTTACTTGCTTACCATCCAATGATAATAAATATAAAGTAAGAGTTACCCAAGATATAAATAACCGAGCTAAAATAAGTTAGCAAAGTGTGGGTATTTCTGTTATAACAATTTATATTTATATGAATATGATTTAATAAAATTATCAACAACAGGGTTTTTATGACGCTATAAAGGAAATTATATTTTGAATCTGTGAAGGGTAAAATTATAAAATGGAAGAAGGGCTGCCCTTAAAAATAATATCTTATAAATAAAAAAAGGAATTGAATATATATATGAAATTAATATTGAAAACAAATTCAATATGTTCCTGGATAATTCAGTGTAAGATTTCCTTATTCAAATGTCAAACCACAGGTTCTTAAAGATATTTAATGCTCAGCGGAGTATTCAGATGTCTCAAATATTCCAGGAAATCAGCTTTAACCTTTCCATTTCGTTACCAAAGAAACCGTTCTTACTCGTTGTTAAACCAATATGAAACGGCTGTTTTAATTAGAGGTTAGAGATTTATGTGTTTTTGCAACCGAACGAATTTTTCATGCTTTTGAGCTATTAAATAAAATAATGTCAAATAATTCAAATGTGTTTTCCGAAAACATAATTGAAAACTTACAAGGAAATTTTGTTACTTTATCAGTTGTATAACACTTCGTAAATATGTACTCACGTTACCTTAACAAACAACTTGTAAAATATTTATGGATCTATTTTGTCTGTTAAAATGTCTCTATTTAATGTTGATGTATAGTTTTTTTTTTTTTTTTTTTTTTTTTTACAACAAATACTACTGCACAACACTGACGGTGAATTCATAATTTTAATGTACAAATGTATGAGACATTGTAAGGTACTCCTATTTTTGATTTGCTATCAAATGTTCATCCGAATGTATTTTTAAATGATCTACACGAACCGTATTTCTTTAAATAAATTGTTAAAAGATCGTTTTGTTTGAATTTTTTTCAATGTTTTGTAAAGTCATACCTCGTGTTGGTTTCAGAGATGGTGCCCTATAAAAATAGCACTTGTACCTTAAATGTTGCATTTATATATATATTCTGCTATTATACTACCTATATAAATTGCATTAGCATTAAAAAAGACTTTTAGTGAAAAGTAGTATAAAACACGGCGAAATATTAACCTTTAAACAGTGTCTATTTATCTTAAAAGCTCTTATGAACGCAAAGAGATAATCATTATAATGAAGTACGTTCCTCACTTTCTGAAGCCCTCTTTACTTTCATTTAGAGACTCTTTATGTTTCGCAAACTTTAGTTTCAGTTAGAGGTTTTCAAGAATTGAAAATGAACGCGAGTGTTATTAGTTTTCTTATTTTACCCTGTTATATGAAGATAATTAGAATAATGTGTTTACTGTAAAATAGTTATAAATTGCAATATAATGTAAAATAACCGGCAGACAACATTATTTTTCTAGAACATAACTCTCATAACCCATATTAACCCTTGATAATGTTATTATTAATGAATTTGTAGTCTATATTAAACGATTACAATAACAGTTATAAAATTTAGAAGAATCATACAACTATTCCGTCTGCATTTCTTTACA